CTGTTCAAACCACTTAAGTTTGTTTTACTAGGAAGGCGTGGAAACTTTAAACCACGAGGCTGAAATTTTGGAATTTTAAACTTATTTGTTAGAAATGATGTTAATTCATTCTACTGGATTCATAGGTTAGGCAAAATTTTTTCGAGAAAAATCCACTTTTGTTTTAAGCTTGTCGATTTGCGAGATTCAATCAAATGAGACCTTTTCCGGATTAATCAACCTCAGCTAAGGGGATCATAGCTCATGCTTGTTTCAAAATAATTGCTGTAAACCGTCCTATTCGTAATCTTGGCATAGTCGATGGAGATAGCTAATGAAATCTAAATGTCATTTTAAAAATAATGAAATAATGATTATAAGACGTAAGTAAAATCTATTGGTTTGCCTGCGCAATGACCAACACTACGCAAAATTTCACTTTTTCGGTCTGTCTTCTCAACTTGCTCGGAATTGTACTAATCTCCTACTCCGTTTGGGAAGGATGAAAAGAGTGATGGAAAAAGAGAGATATGAGTCAAATTCTGACCAAAATGTGTGGAAGCTTATTGGGAAAAAGTTGCGTTAAGCCCTAGTTGATAGGTATGAGAAACACGTAGGAGTAAAACTTACAAGAAGATTTATGCAACTAGCAAAAGCCAGGAAACTTTCCAGTGACCTCAAAGGGCTTTCAAGTTTCTAAAATTTCAAAAAAAATGCCTACTAGGAAATTTTCTGAGAAAGATAGGTCTTTTCATGTTTGCTCATTGAAAAACGCCATCTAACTAGTATTTATTGATCATTTGTGATTCAATACATATATCTAACGTTGTAAGATCTCGTGCTTATTGCAGGGAGGATGGATACAGACGCCTTCGTCACCCTGCGTAGGTACCGTAATCCCTCGTCGTAGGGAGAGAGTGCGGTCGAAGAGGAGGGCGTGGGACGAATGTGGAGCTGAGTGTAAGGTGGGCTAGTGAAGACAGTTGCTCATTCGGTTGCCTGCGGGCGCGCCTGCCGTCCAACTGTCACCCACCCAAAAACCTTATGCGCCTCTATGGCTCTCATTCTCATAGTGTATAGGAAAAAAACCGAACATTTCGAATTTTATAGCGGAATGTGATAAAAAGTTCGAATAAGGTTGTTTAGTTATATCAAGTAATTTTGTTCAGATAACACTGAAATCTCAACTTCAGAATGCTCATAGTTTCCTTGTATATCTGCATTTTGAAGAACATTCCAGAATATTCAGTTCATTTCTAAAGCTCTATCAAACATC